AACTGGAGGTGTATATGTATACAGTGTTTTTGCATTATGTTGAGAAATCAGCTTAGTAATGAAGTTGTGCTTTTATTGAGGTATGGAAATTTAGCGATTGCTTTGAGATTGAGCGGCAGTGTGTGGTAGAAGATAAAAGATAAGTAACTTACTGTTCGCGGATTAGCAGCAACCTAAATATTCTTTTTTAGGATGTGGCGAAATTCGGTGCCGTGAGAACATTGTATATATTGGTGTAGGTATAATAATTCGTGAAGAACATGGCGAACTAGAGATATTACTAGCTCAGGAAGCAAAGCGACGCTGCTTTGGGAAGTCCGTTCAGTCACATTTTTTTGCATAAGTCTACAAGAAGAAAGACTGTGGCGAGAGAGAGAGGATAAAAATGTTATGAAAGGATCTTGAGGAAGGATGATGAAAAGAGGGGAAAAGGGAGGCAAGTAATTTAGCATGCAAATTTTTAAACTTTCCGCCTCTTCTGTAAAATTTAAAAATTTTAGAGGTAATGCACAGTAGCTGTTGGCTGGTTTTGCACAGTTATTAAGCAAAACCGATTTTGTTCAGTTTAAGAAATTATTTACAAAATTTGGCATGTTTTTGAGTTTCTTCTTAAGTATTTTTCCGTCTTGGACTTCCACTTATTTTTGTTTTAGGTGGTACGTCCCAGCTGGCCGCATAGAACCCGGTGAAACACTACTGGTGAGCATTATTGTTTTGCCATTTTTCTTGTAACATTTGTGGAAGGTTGATTCTTCTGAAATAATTTATTGAAACTAACTTCTATGCGTTAGTCTTCTGTATTGATTCTTATTAGATTTTAAAAGTGTTTGAATTTAAGAAAGCGAATATTGCGTAGTGGTAAGTAACGTTGCTTTGGGCCGATGTCGGGGGTTTCTTCGCCAGTGGTCTGTTCATTCGTATCGATGGTAAAATTGGTATTGATGCACACTGAGGAGTCAAACCTGTTATGAGCTTGCTTGTAAATAACATTCGAAAGGGGACCAGTGCAACATTAGCAGCGAATGGTTGCTGTTAGCGCGTGCTGCCGTTTAGGCCAATTCCGAATGCCTTCTTCTTTTATAGGAAATGGAGGTAGAGAAAGTTTCAACTTTTATCATTTTTCTGAGTTTTGGTGTTTACGTTTTAAGATAAAACTGAAAAAAATCATGCCGCCAACTTTTTAGGAAGGTGTTTCCCGAGAAGTGTTGGAAGAAACGGGTTACCGCTGTGAGCCAGAAGAACTGTTGAGTGTAGAAGTGCAAGGATCCGGTTGGTATCGACTTTCGTTTTACTGCAATGTCACTGGTACGTCCAGCATTTATTATCCCTGTTTTCCTTAAAATTTCTTCAGTTTGGCTTAATATTTTAATTTTGATGGAAGAAGTAAGTATTTGAAGCAAATACCTGTTCCTGATTTGTCTTTTTGTTTACGAACCTTGACTGTATACTTCAGAGTTCAATATTTTATAGTTTAGGTGGTCGGCGAAAAGTGAACGCCGACAGTGAATCGCTGTGCTCGAATTGGTTTCCAGTTCACGAAGTGATGGCAAAAAGAATGGAGTTGAGGTAGATCGAACTCATGTCACTATCATTCAGTTAAACCACTGCTCCAGCATACAGGCAGATGAAAACTTCGTCCATAGATGAAAACTACTTCAGCGGGCTATTGCAGTGAGTGTGGAAATGTAATCCTGTGAAGCTGGCTTTTTTCTGAGCAGAAGAATTTGTTTTATAGCGATCTTACATTATAAAGTTTTTCTGAAAAACAGTTTTATGTTTAAATGTTTGAGCGCCTTTTAGATCAACCGATTTTTTGAAGTTGTTAG